GGGTCTGAGTCCTTGAGTGGGTGGTGTCACCTGAGTGCTGGAGAGAGTATCCTCTTCTACTCATCAGGGGTGGTGATGGCTTCAGACAGGGGTCAGAGGTTTTCTTGAGGATGAGCACTGTTTATGGTTCTCATACTAGCCCCTGGTACACCCATCCTCACTCAGGGAGAGGAGACATGGGGCATTCTCAACAGGACTCTGCTTCCCCCAGGAGGTAGGAAAACGGGGAAAGGCCCCACTCAGTGCTTATCCCACAAGAAACTGGTTACCTCTCCCCACTGTTCGGCTGTATGCCAGTCCTTCTCCCCATAAGCGCACACCTCACTTGAGCCCTCTCAGGTCTGGGAGAAGTTTCCCTGGTCCTGCGTGCAGGTTTATGGCTACAAAACTATCTACAGAGCTCCCTGGGTAGCCCCAACTGATGAGGTGGAGAAAGCTGCAGAGAGACAGCCATGAATGGCCATCAGAAAGGTGCCTGGGTCCTGAGAGGGCCCTTTCTTCCTTCAGCAGTGTTCACGGAGGCCCCACTGTGTCCAGGCTCTGGGGCTACAGCACCGAACAAGACAGGCCCCTGACTGGCCCTTGCCTCTCCAGGGTGTGAAGTTTCCCTCCAAAAACTGCACGAACACCTCTGGAATTACACTGTGTGAAGGCCAGGACAGGCTGAGGCTGTGGCCAGGCCAAGGCTGTGGGAATATGGGCAGGCCTCCCAGAGGAGATGGGGGTGGGAGGAGTAGCAAGGCGGCTGCTGGCAGAAGGAACTGGGGCAACGTGTCAGGAAAGGGTGGGTGGAGGAGGCTCCTGCGGGCAGCCAGGTCAGAGCATAAGGGGCCTGCCAGCAATGTGGAGCCAGGAAAAGGACCTCACTGTGCCCCTCTGGTCTCCACTTTCCCCATCTATAAAACGAGACTGCCAGCATCCTCCTGTGCTGCTCAGACACTTCTCTTAGGCCCCTCGCTGTGTCTGTCCATCAGAAAAATGGCAACAATCCAGTTAAGGAAGTGGAGCCGCCACCAGAGTCCCTGAAGGCCCCGAGCCTGACCTCTTGCCCTTATCAGCACCAACTCTACTGCCCTCTCTAAGGAGAAGCCCAGCCAGAGTCAGATTTGAAAAAGGCAGCCCTGTTCTCCCTGGGACTCTGTTTAGACTGAATTGTCCAAGGAAGGTAGGGGCAAGGTTTGGCAGTCAGACCCTAACTCTCCTCCCAAGCAGAATCCTAACTCTTGAGCTCTCAAAGGGCTGCTTGGCTGCAGGGTCCTAGAGAGTGCCTTCCCCACACCCCTCGTCCTGTCTGGGCCCTGGACCTTTATTTCTTACTCAAATGGCTGTGGGGCTATGGAAGCAACAGGAGGCCTGGGCCCTGTCCTGGGGAAACATCCCCTTATGAGAACCTGGAGAAGAGGGGTTGACAGTGTGAATGCCACACCAAGGCCTCCAGCTTTGCCAGTCCCTTCTGCCCCATGCCCCCCACCTCCGACATGGCTAGCCTTACCCGGTTGCCTGTTTCTGTCAGCCTCCCTAAGTGCGGGGTCTCTTATTCATTCATTCCCAGTGAAGTTCTTTCTCTGCCCAGGACTACTGGGTATGACTGGCAAGGTGATAATTATAGATTGGAGACCTGGTCCTGGCACAGTTCCCTGAATGCGGTCACTTCTGTACTTTCCCAGCTCTAGGACTTTGCTCACACACTGTCCCCTCTGGCCAGAGTACCCACTCCACCCCCAGCCCTGCCCACACTCCCACCTCCTTCGCAGATGCCGGTTCCTTTATCAAGAATCCTGAGCACGAGCTGCTTGCACCTGCCTTGCTCCCAGGTTTGTTTTTATCACAGTCCCACAGGACTCTGTTGAACACTGGCTTCTACCACTGCCCCATGACTCCTCCAGGGCCGTCCCCGTCTGTCACCTTTGTGGTTTGAGTGCCTGGAATGGGACTTGACACTCAGTTGGTGAATCAGTTAATCTTTGTAGATTAAGAATAGAGCTCCCTATGTATCAGACACCCTGTTAAGTGTTGTCTATGTGATAACTCTTTTATTCCTCACAATAATTCAATGAGAGAGGTGGTTTTTTTTTTTAACTCCCATTTTGAAGATGAGGACACTCAGGCAGAGGAAGGTTAAGTGACATGCCCAAGGCTGCACAGCCAGTAGATAGATCCAGCCCAGGCAGTGGGGCTGCGGGGTCCACGACACCCAACAACTGATCTACTATGCTGCCTCTTGGGGGTGATACCAACTCAGGGAAGTTGCCTTGCACGACTGGGTGGACACCTTTGTCAGCTAGGAGAGTGCGCCTGCTTTTGCGGGAAGCTCATCCCCAGCCCAAGCCCCTCAGATTAAGTTCCATTTTCCTTAGTGCGGCCTTTCTTCCCTTTTGAACTCAGGTCTTGCACCCTTATGCTTGGCACAAATTGGGTTGCTCTCCTTGAGGACTGTGAATTTGGGTTCAGCAAATGTTTGCGGAATGATTACTTTGCTATATACACCCATAAAGAAATGCACAGCTTCATGAAGACCATTGGTCACTGCATCCCCTCCCCCAAGCCTCAGCTTACTGCTCTGGGAAATGGGCTGACTCACCCAAATCACATGGTGTGACGTCTGGTAAAGATTCCGAGTGGCTCCAGAACACTGTGTCAAGTCTGTTTATTTGACTCTTGGCACTGTGTGTGTGTGTGCCTGCCCTAGACAGCCAGGTGACTTTGCCAGGGTGGGGATGAGGTTACAGTTGGGCCAGAATGTGTGCTCCTAGCAGCAGTTCCCTTGGAGACCTGGGGGGCAGCCTGAGATGTGGAGATAAGTTGGCAGGTCCTGAGAGCTTGAATGGGCTAGTGGTTTTGCCACCTGACAGTGGGTGGGGAACACTTGTCAAAGGCTCTTTTTTTTGCAGCAAACAGTTGGAGGGAGTCTGTCCCGCCCCTTCTGGCTTGCTGAGCTGCACCGGGACGGCTTGGGTAAATGGGGGTGGCTGGCACTGCCTCTGCCAACTGCAGCTAACAAGTGGCAGCTCGCAGACCAGGCAGGGCAGGCTGTGGTGACCCTGGGCAGGGCAACCAATGAGCTCTCAGGCTGCAGTGGCACCACCAGGCAGCCCGCCTGTCTTTGGCTGGAGCGGCAGCGGGAGGGGCCTCGGGCCGCCAGTCAGGGCTGCAGAGCCCTGTCTCTGGGAGGCCCAGGCAGATCTGCTGTTCCATTCACAGGAAGCCCCACTCTGGGCTGCCTCATTTTTAACTTTTCCGACCTTCTGGGAGAGGAGGGCGGGCTGTGGGGGTGGTGTGGGAAGGATGGCTGGGAAGACTGTGCAGCCAGAGATAGAAACTCAGAGAACTTTCCCCTTGTGGGCTTGAGCTCCAGGCTGGGGAAAAGGAAGATTCTGAATCCTTTTGCTCACAGTAGGCCTGATGGAATTGAAGGGGTGGAGGGAGCAGGAACAGGGGGAAGCAGAGGAGATCATGTCCTGGTTGCCAACCCAGGACTGGCATCAGGGACCCCAGGGTCCTGGCTTGAGTCCCTTACCCTTTACCTGGATGGAGTCAGCCCTGGAACAACACTGGTGACCTAAGTGGCTGTCAGCTGGAGCAAGGGGTGAGAGGGGCATTCAGGCTTGACACCAAAAATTCTTTGTGGGATGTCAGTAGCAATAGGTGCTTGTGGCCCCCACCTTAGCCCCCTTGCTCAATGCAGACCCAGCACAGCCAATCACATAATAAACATATATTTATAAGATGTACAATTTCAGAATTCTAATTCAAGAAATACAGCTTCTCAGGGGATCCTTTAGGATCTATGTTGTTATTGCACATGGGTCAACCTGTCTAGGGACACCTACCACGACCACCTGGTCAGGGTGGTGGGGGCAGAGCACCAGGGCCACCTCAATGGGGCACTCTCGCCCACGTCTAGTTCTTATCATCTCTCTGGGCCCGGGTGGCTGCTTCATCACAGGGCAGGACCTTGTTCAA